TCATTTTCTACATCGATTGCATTTTCTTTCCAGAACAATGACGTGCTAATCACCATTGAAAACTAGCGAGTTGAGAAGTGTTTTATAAAAGAGTTTTTGTTTCGAACATATAATTCACGTATATCAAAGCTGTGTGGTTATAAATTGGATCAAAGTAACACTAGGTGTGTTTGGATTCCGGTTACCGTTGTTGGAGATGGCTGCAAGGGAAAGAGAATGTCATTCCAGCTTTCATACAAATTCATAGTTATCATTCAAATAGTAGAGTGACATAATATTTCTTTTTTACATCTTTATATAATTATTCATCAACCGTTAAACTAAATGCAACAGTTACTCAATCATCCATCATTCGAATAAATGAGATCATATTGCTTTGAGTGTATATCAAATTGAATTGTCAGTTTCCTTCTTCCTTAGAGCAGTTAGTTGAAATACGTTTTGCGTGACGATTCATTAATTAATCTACGTTTGAGTAGATTGATTTTTTTTACACCTTTGACCATTCATTTCAAACTGACATGTCGTCGAATATTTTCCCAATTTTTTTTCGTAGAATGTTAAGTTACAGATCAAGTTGTGAAACTAATCAATCAATAATGATGAATCACGAATTTGTCGGCATTTGCACGTGATAGCCAAGCCACAGTCTTCAAAAACACTAGTTTAACTTATGATATGTGAACATCAAGTGTGATGTCTTCTCTTCTCTATCCGATCATAAATAGCATCATATACAGATTTCGGGATGACTTTCTAATGCCTCAAATGCTAACTAAACATGTTTTACTGTGCAACACACAGAGAAAAGCCTGTGCAATGAAAATATCAGAGAACAATGAAAACAGTATGTCGATCTGTTCTACTTTCATGAAATACGTGTAATTAACAATAACACAGATAATAAATATTTTAACTTTTACTAAACACATTTTTTATTCTTCTGCAAAATCAATCGAAGTATAGATATATTATGTACATTAATTATCAATTTGAAGGCTTATAAGATAATCATCATGATGTAAACGAGTGCAAGTATTGATCGTGTACATACATACATACATGTGTTAAGAACTCGTGACAATTGAAAATATAATGACCTGTTCATCAAGATTTCCTTATTACAAGTAAGTCAATGCATTTTGATGATTATTGTTGACCTCGAAATATAAATTAACCTTTTTTTTCTGAATTACGCAACTAATCAAAAACTTCTGAAATTTTTATTTTTTTATATGAGAATTAAATTCACGGAAATGAAACAGTTAAAGATGATTGATAGTTTCTAAATCACGATTGATGACATAATTTTATTACGTGATAAAAACGCAAAAAAAAAAATTCAAATGAACTCTAATCAACCATCTGAGTGAATAACTACTACAAATTATATGATGACAAAAATTAACTTATTGAATTATTCTAATCTATAATATTCTTTCTGGCTTCTTGTTTCCGTTCCAAAAAAAAATTTAAATTGATTCATTATTTTTATGAGATTAAAAAAATACAAATATATGTTTGTAGTCCACAACAATGCATTTATTTTTACTTGTAACCATGAATCGATCAATGTTAGATCAGCATTAGAAACCTGGAAGCACTGGACGGCTGTTTCGTCCTGGTATGGGACTCATCAGCAGTGCGTATCCACGACTCCTGGACGAAACGGCCGTTCAGTGCTTCCAGGTTTCTTCTAATGGTGGTCTAACATTGATCGATTCATGGTTACAAATAAAACTTAACAATCTTCACAACAACCCCGCAATGCAATTATATGTGTCCGCTAGTGACTAGCTTGATGAGGAATCTTCTCCGAGTTCTATTGGGAAGTCGTGACCAGTGAAGTTCAAACGTGTTTGGATGTATATAGGGTATGAGGTTGCGCAACTCCGTGAATTTGATCAAGTTAGACATTAACACCGTTAGGTACCGGCTCAGTGGTCTAACGGTTGTGGCATTCGAGCACAATACCGAAGGTCCTGGGTTCGAATCCTGTGGGGTGCAGGAGTCGTGGACGCGCACTGCTGGTGAGTCCCATACCAGGACCAGACGGCCGTCCAGTGCTTCCAAGTTTCTTCTAATGGTGATCTAACATTGATCGATTCATGGTTACAAATAAAACTTAACAATGTTCACAACAACGCCGCAATGCATTTATTTTTACGTCTGCAGATAATTTTTGTGATATTATTCAAATGGAATATTCTGTTTGAGGAATGATAAATCAGACCAATATTGAAATAAATTTAGGTCAGTAAATAGTCCATTTGATATACTCAAGTTTCCTATGCTTTAAAAAAAACATGAACAGTAAATGATTACAAATAAATTCTAAAACCATCGAATCAGAGAAATGTGAGCTCCAGCCATTAGCGATAGCAACATGAAAAGCGAAGAAATTCCTCCGACGATTAGATATGGACAAAGAGTCAGATGGTCACAAAGATATATAGCTAGGATTTTGAATAAATAATTTATTTTCATATTTCCATTTCATAGTATTCAGATGTCCAAAATACTAACTCATCTGTAATTAGATTCGATGCATATTGTGTATTTCGGTGTTTAATCTTCCATTATCATTTGACCTCATGAACGCACACGAAGTCAAACATAAACAAACAAGTTAAAATTTATGTTTCGTAAATTTTATTATTGTTTGCTGGAGGAGAGCTATTGTAGCACCTTACATATATTTTATACTTTTATCACCGTGGAGCTTGTATGCCTATGTAGGCTTGGGCATTAATTACCACCCAGGCACATAGTTGTTTGACTAGCTTTACTGTTTAAATTATTTTATATCGACTATGTATGTATATTTGTAATAAATCTCTAAAATCTTTAAAATCTTATTTAAAAGAGGAAATTGTGGCTACGACTCATGTTATATTCTAACGGTGGTCAAGACGGAGATGTACGGAATTTACACGATAAGGAAAGTTCGACTTCACAGTCCCTCCGATTATGTCACGTCGCGAGTGGATACCCTTATTCTCAAATCGTAGTGAATTTAACCTATAGGATTTGTTTGAATTAATAAATATGGTGTGGTATTTATGTGTGTTACACAGTTTAACTGGTGCTTCATCGTAGTTTTGGGCAGTATCAGTGAAGTCGGTTATAAGTAAACATATCCATACTAAAAATGCCAGTAGTAATGTTTCCTAGAACGACTAGAACGTGTCATGAATAAGTAGTCCAGGAGTAGCGATACAAAACTTACTTACTTAAGCCTGTTATTTCTCATTAAACACAGGCTGCCAAACAGGATTCTCCTCCCTGCTCTCTCTGAGCTATTCTTTCCATAAGTTGCCACTTACTGTTCATTCTCTCGATGCCTCCCTACGTTCCTCCATTCATCATGTTCTCTGGACATGCTCTATCTCTTTGTACTTGAGGATTCCACGTAAGCATTACGGAATAATTTTATCTTTATGTCCTAAATGCAAATACTTAAAGTCTCAAGTCAATTTATTCGCTACAAAGTCTAATGTGAATATGGAAACCAAAAATAAATGAGTAGTCACTGAATATAATTAAAAACCTTATGTCTAATCACTGAGATAACCGAAGCAAAATTGTGGTTCTTCAATAATAAATTGTGAATTTTATAATGCAATTCAGAACACAAATTTGTTCAAGGTAGGATTTAATTGATTACAGGAAATAGATGAAAATGTATATTTAAATACACTGACACACTAATTAATAGTCAGATTGGTATACACTAAACTAAGTACTACTCGAATATTGTATTCAAATTACAGCAGTCACAGTAAGGTGAATATTATTCACCGTATCATTTTTGAGCAGTATTTATCAGAATTTCACCAAGAAGTGGCTAACGGACCGACGACTAGCATATGTGAATATATCACTCCTAATGCAGCATAGGCCGCCAATCAGCATTTGCCAACCCACTCTCTACTTGATCTTCCTTCCCATATCCTACTCTTTGCATATCTGCTTCCAATTCTCGTCTGATGTGTTCTTGGCTCTTCTCGCGATTCCAAGTAAAGGCTTGAATTGCAACTTAGTTAGGTATTTTCCTCAATATGTGCCCCATAGGTCTCTAGAGCTTTATCTGAATTTCTTCCTTAGTTGGAATCTAGTTTGTTCTCTCCTACAAGAGATTGTTGTTGATGATGTCTGGTCAACGATATCACAGTACCAGGAGCAAACAAAATTACTGAAGCCAAGTAATTATGTGAAGGATGACGGGTAATAATCGGTTTCTTTAACAAATGAAAATCTGAAAATTAGATGTACATCTTTTGTCCATAAACTGTTCCTTCCCTAAACAGGCTACATTGCCATTTAGTTTTGAAGTTTACGTTCATTACAACTGTTCATCACATGCATGAATGCCAATTTCAGTGTAGATAGGATTCTGCTGTGTGTACCATAGTTTTTATGACTTGATTGAATCTGACCGTTCACTTTGGTGTCTACCTATGTTCTTATTTAATGAATGGTGATGAATCGTGATTGATCAAAGTATACAGACACGTCGCAACTCACTATTCAGTATTGAATTGCGTGAAACTTATATTTGAGAGTCGTCACCCAGCCACCTCTCTATTTACGTGAACCGCTTGATTATTGAACGCATTTGTAACGTAAGCAGAAAGTTTTGCCATGAAACTAAAGGGTAAAAAACTGTGTCTGTGACGTCGCTCAGTTCAATATCTCAGTGGTTTGATAGACGTTAAGTGATTTCAAATCATTATCTTTTATTCGAAAACACTTAATACTATGAACGTATTATTATCTTTCAATCAATATCAATCCATTTCTAACCAATAACGGTAATAATGAATCATTCTTATAATTATCATTAAATAACATGTAAAAACGACTTGCATAATTCAGTTACACAATTCTGAAGTGTAATTGGTAATAAAGTATATAACTGAAAAGTGAATTGTCTTTGACAAATTGACAACTTCTTACTCGTTTCTATTTCTCTACATGTTGTCTCTGTTTTTTAAAGGATGACAAAATTATTTCCACATTGGTTTAAACAACACAAATATTATTTATTAGTTAATCATGCTAAAGAATATCATCAATTCAATCATAAACTTTTATTTGTATTAATTATTACAATCACTTTAATTACATGGAGTATATTCAATTTAGTTGATGATAAATACGATGATGCATTTCATAGAAATAACTCATTGGTAAGTTGTTTTATTGATAAATAAATTTTTGTTCTTCAATTGTGAGTGTATACAACATTGAACATTGAGCATTTCATGTTGACATTCTAGATATTTATATGGACACTTTAGTATATAATAGTAAATAAGTTCTAGATAAGTACACCACATTGTTAAATGTATTACTTACTTACTTACTTACTTACGCCTGTTACTCACAATGGAGCATAGGCCGCCCACCAGTTTTCTCCAACCAACTCTGTCCTGGGTTTCTCTTTCCAGTTCTGTCCAATGTTTGTTCATTCCTCTCATATCTTTCTCTATTTCTCGGCGTATTGTATTCTTTGGCCTTCCTCTTTTCCTTTTGCCATGAGGGTTCCATATGAGGGATTGTCTTGTGACACAGTTAGGTTCTTTTCGTAGTGTGTGTCCTATCCACCAACTCCACCGCTTCTTCCTGATTTCCTCCTCCACTGGAATCTGACTTGTTCTCTCCCACAGTTCGTTGTTGCTGATGGTGTCTGGCCAAAGAATACGAAGTATTTTGCGTAGACAGCTGTTAATAAACTAAGTGTATTACTGATTATAAATCATATATTTATCTACTGTCATCAACATACTTGTTAGGTTATAAATTTTGTATTACCTGGAAGGGGAAACTGTGCACATTAGTTCACTCTTCAAGATACAATATGACCAATTTGTAATTAGTATACTAAATACACTAGATACTTGTTCGAAAAGAGGTCAGTTTTACCAATGAAATGGCGTAATGAATAACAGACAATAGCTTCAAGTGAAAAGTTTTGGTTTCCATCAACAAAATGTCGTATATACCTTGATCAAAATGAGCACTCCAGAATAGAGTATGAATCAACATTAAACGAGTACGTCAGTAAAGATTGTTCAGTATTAAGTACATTAAAAATCAGAGAACAGGGATTACAACATATCATATATACGAGGCTTTGTTTTCGTTGATACAAAAGTTTGACAGATTACACACATTCTGTGACCTCATCCAAATCTTGTTTCTACAGTATGCAATCGTTACATTAGTTTCATAAACGCATAAATCACTGTAACAGATTATATCATTTTACTCTTTCAGAAGAATAAAATTCACATTGTCATTTTATTCGACGGTGATAGTGGTCTGAAATACTTGAACACTCTACTGAAATCAATTTTTTATCATCAATATGGAAGATTTCGTTGTGATTTGAAAAAATGTTGTGTGTCAAATCTTTGTGATCGATTTGATGAGAATTGTCACAGCAATGCAATGAATGTGCTCGCTACATCATATACAACTGTATTTCATTTTTTAATCAATAACATGTCATCGAATGGTGCTTTAATAGATTTAATGAATTCGTGGAAAGTACATAATATGGAGTATTATTTCTATAGTTGTAAAGATCATTTGGTAAGTTGTTACATAACATTTTGGGTTTCTTGTCCTAATTCTTCATCTTCTTCTGATTATTATTATTATGAGCAATGATAGGCAGACTTGCTCGTAGGATACTGAACAATGAAATAATGCGTAAGAGAAAATCCTGGGAATATTTTTGTCATTATTATTCTGATATTACACTGCAGAATCATTGTATTTAATTAAAAAACAAAAGCGTAGTTTTCAGTAAGAAACACAATACGAAAAAATACGTAAATTTTCATCAGTCATCCGAATAACTAAAACCTATTATAAAAATACAGAGTCATCTATCATGAGGTGCTGAACAAATCTAGATTATCAAGGTCTATAGATATTCATCTTACTGATGTTACAATATTAGATCCTCAAGCAACAAGACGAATAAAATCTTAACGGTGTGAACATTTTTGTCAACCAGTGTCTGATCCAAACACTAGCTTAGTGATAAGATTTCTGTATTTGTCGAAAGTAATGAAATTATCACGAAACAAAGTATGTTTTCTGAGGAGAGGTGGATTTTGCAAGCAGTGGAATCCGGCTTGAGCATTTCGTCCTGTTTAGCACTTATCATAAACAAAATGTACCATCATCTTGGAGTTGACGCCGATTACTCAGAATCGAATCGATCACTGTTCGTTTCGAATGCTATTGCGTTATCCACTTACATTCTGATAACCGTCAAACACCTGGTTGTACAATTTGTTATGAAAAGTTTATTCGTATCGGTTGTTTGGATATGAATGCTTTTCACTGTTCCTGATATTGCATCACTTCGTGTTTTTAAAATAATTAAGTACAAACGCTTGTTAAGTTGCGATTTTTAATCAACTTGGATTCTGTGAAAATCTGATATACTTTTATTCAGCTGAACACTTTCCATAGTTTCAGTAACATCTGTCTGCAGTAGAGGTGTGGGTGCGTGGATGACTGATAGATTGTTTCATGGTACCAATAAAATTTTTACAGCCACAACGATCTTGTATTGACAATATATTATTTCTATTGGTTTTACTTCTTTTCATATTTCGTAGGAAAATCTTCAATGGATTAAATCTAAACATCCTTCAGGTTGTAAACCATTTTTAAAATTTATGGTTACTGAGATTCTTCCATCGAATATCAGTAAGGTGAGTTAAAATGTTTTGCTCTTACTCATGATTCATTGAATAGTATGAGAATGAAAGAAACTTGAGTTTCAGACATGACGATCATGACGATCAGAAATGTCCTGACTCTTCTGACTCTTCTTAGATATGTAATCATCTCACACAGATTATCATGAAGTAGCCATCATGACACGAGTTTAGATGAAATAGATAGAATATGGCAATCATTGAAATCTAGTGTGTGAGTTTTTTCTTACTTAGGACTCATTAGCTGGTATAAATACTATATGAAATAATATGACATTATGGTTGAATTTAGTTCTCTGAGCTAGATTTGAATTCGGTTTGTTTCTCTGATTGACGACACCCTGCCAAATAAATCAGAGAAAGGTATTCGACCACAAATGGCCCACTTTAGTTATACATTTCCTTGAGTCGGTTGGAGTATGGTGTTACTCTGCTTAGAACACTTATACATTTGCGTTTCATTACTAAACAGTGTAAATTATCGTGCTTTGAAACTGGAACTTATAAATTAATCAATTTTAGAGCTACATAATATACCAGTAGCACTGCAGTTCCATGTTGTATGAGACACATCATCAGTGAGCATCCGGAAAATGCATTTCAGTGAACCAAACCTAATACCTTCAGTTTCACGAGGGAATTTGAGACAGTGAAAATGAACTCTACCGGATTTAGGCAGTTAGTTATTCAACAAAGGCAATGGTTGAACTCACAAAATACCGTTTATAGATTCACGTTAGACATCCACATTGTTGGATGTTGGTTTTGTGTTTCAGAGGTGACGCGTTCGTACGGAAAACAAATATTAAATGTTCAATTCCTGCATTCAGAGGTGATGCATATGCACTGCTGATAAGTCCCATATCAGGGCAAGAGATCCGTGTAGTGCTTCTGTTTTTCTTTCTAATGGTGACATAACAACGATCGATTATGCCTTATTTACAATTTTCAAGTTTTACATAAAAAAACACATTGTGAATTTTTAATTTCAGGTTATTATACTAGACATTGACATGCTCATTAATACAGACATCATTGAATTATGGAATCATTTTGAAAATTTCAACGAAACTCAGGTTTGTTTATCATAATATTTCAATGCTTATTGTTCAGTGGTTAATTTTATTTTGTTATCACATTTTGAACATATAAATGGAAATTTCCAAGATGATTGATTATATGATATTCATTGTAGAGTTGTGTAGATTCGTTGAGATTTATTGAAATCATGAATCGATCACTGACTGATCGAAAACCAATAGAAATAAACCTGAAAGCATTGGATAACTGTTTTGTTCCAGTGCGCAAGCCTGGCACAAGGTGGTTAATCTGTTAATCAGTGATATTTTGCAAATTAACGATTTACGATATGGTTTTCCGATTTTAATGAGTAACTTTGTAATTTTCGTTAAATACAATCCGGTTGCCCCACCTGTGTTCTCAAAGGCGGTTTACGACAGCCTGGAAGGTGCCGCCACGAAGACGGCGTGGGAGACGGTCACCGGGCGGCTGGTGACGGAGTTCGACAGCCCGGTGGACAGGTAGGGGGCTCCGCAGAGGTTCCGGTTGGCGAGGCTGTCGGCTGATGGTGACCCGTTGGTGCTGGCTGTGGAGCTCACGATGTTGCTGCGCCGTACGCTGCCGAGTATGGATGGGGAGTCTGGGGCACAGTTGTTGGCGTCGCAGTTTATCCAGAGTGTGTCTGCCGCCGTGTCACAGCAGCAGGAACTAGTAAACGCTACACGTTGGCTAGATGCCCTAACCATTCCAGATCAGCGGGCAAGAACAATGACCGAAGTGGTAAACTGGCATATTTTAGCGCGTCACGAAATACGGAAGGTGATATTAAGTGACCAGGGTCCCTGTTTTGAAAGTGACGACAGCTGATTGATAGGGGAGACGAATGTGGTGCGAGCTACTTGCAAGTAGTATATGATGTGAGTGTCAACGTAATGTCTGTCAGCAGAAAATGGGGGGGAAGATCGAGAAAGGAAGAGTTAGAAGAACACAATGGAATTTGTATGAAATATCGTGAATAGTGACACTGGATTGATGTTTTTTTGCAACAGGAACAGTTCAGTTCGATATGATGAAATGATATTTTGCAAATTAACGATTTACGATATGGTTTTCCGATTTTACTGAGTAACTCTGTAATTTTCGTTAAATACAATCCGGTTGCCCCACCTGTGTTCTCGTTCACTACAATATAACAATTGAAACATACTGTAAATGCAGTTAATAAGCATATAGAGAATCAATTGGTCTCATTTTATTCATTGATTTTACTAAATAATAATAGATAGTATTATTGATGACGTTAAGTGGTAATTTTACAATTCAACTAAATTTCCCTTACAAACTTCTCTTCATATATATTTATCAAAGAGTATAGGTATTGGATTAGAACAAAATGTTTATTTTCAAACTGTTATGGGTATGTTAGAAAGTAATTGGGAAGTAAGTTCAAACACTTTTTGTAAAAATACATTATTTCATTTTGCAAGCATGGATGTTTTTTACTGATTGAGCGATTCATTGAAACACGTTAAGCCAGTAAGTAATGCTATTTGAATTCAGTCATCAAGTTGAATTATTGCTGTTAGCCTAGTGAAATACTCGCAACAGGAACTCTCGATGTATGCAATAATCATAAACGAACATATGTACCTGCCAGATTGAGAGATGAGTGATTTCTCATAAGATATAAGTATACTTCTGGGATGAGATCTTCAAGGAACAGTTGGTTAACAATATATAATTTATAACAGTATCTCAGTTTAGTACTCCTTCGTCTTGCCGGAATAAAATTTAGAACAGTTTCTAAAGTTCATGATAATTCTGTAGTTGAAAACAGTAAATAACAACTACCATACAAACGATTTACCTATGTCTATTGTAAAATATAATCAGTCACATGTACAATCTTCTTTTTAGGGTTATGGATATAATAATGGTGTAATGTTATTTGATCTGTCCAAACTAAGACAGATTTTATGGAATAAAATATGGATATCTTTAACAAGGGATGCATTGGATAAACAAGGTATTTTAATCACAGGAGAACAGGTAATTTAAACATTTGCATGATTATTCAGAATATTGTTTTAGTGACTGAAGCAGTTTTGAGTTACATATTTTTATAATTTCTTACTTAACTAAAATCTGGTTGATCTTCTCCTACAATAAATTGTTAGTGGACAGTATCTGTCCGGCGGATCCTCTAATGCCTAAATCAGATAAATGTCAGTGAACACTTGTTCTATTCGAATGTCTTTTATATTATTGCACGATTTCAAGTCAACATGACATAATAATAATAATAATCACAAATTGCACTATGTACGAAATTTTAATGAGGCAAATTAAAGTAACGGAACAATTGTTGAAAATTTTGGACCAAATGAAAAAGAAACACAGTTAAAAGATATAATAAATTTTTAGGGATAGCAGATGTAATAAATTAATTCCGTTGTCAATGTTTCGGGCTTTGGCATCGTTGGTGTTGGTTGCTAAGTTTAATGAGTCTGTTTTGCGATGTTTTCATTGAGTAATCTCACTCTCACAATCGGTCATAACCATTTTTTGGCAGTGGTTGAAATTGGTAGCAATGAATTTGCAGAATTTGCGCCTAATTCATTCTAGTGTTAATGTTCACCTCGTTTATTATTTGTTTCTTATTCAATCCCAAGGTACGGTTACTAATATTCGATCATAGATGTTTAAGAAGCATTGCTCGTATATCGTGGGACAACCGAGTAAGCAATGCTGTCGTTAGGAAACGAGTACTAGGTAAGGATGGCAAATCAATAGATGAAGTGGTGAAACTTCATCAGTTGAGGTGGTCGGGACATGTGTTACGTATGCCTAACCACAGACTGCCTCGACGAGCTGTGTTTTGTGGTGTAGGAGTAGGTTGGAAGAAAGCTACGGGCGGCCAGACCAAACCATGACAGAAATCCATGAAGTCACTGACAAGTGGACTGAGTCATGTTGTAGGCTACATGTTTGGGGTCCGCGAGACGATAGTCACCAATGGTTAGAGACCTTGAACGACATGGCTTAGAATCGTTTGCGATGGCGTAAGTGCAACCATTCTCTGAGCTCTCTCAAATCCTAATCTTCTGGATTCTTCAACACCTCTACATTTGTCTTTCTAACCTTATCTCACTGAATTATACTTCTTGAATAATATCTTCGAACCCTATTCTTCTTCATTACCATTAATACCTCTACTATCTTTATCACTATGGGATTTGATTTGACATCTGCCTCTTTGTGCTAATGTGATATGGCAACATGAACTTATGTACATACGTACGTAGTTCTACGTTGCAACTGACTGACAATCCCAAGGTGAATACTTCTATTTTCTCTACTTTTTCTAAGGTGATCTGTTCTTTTGCCTCTAAAAAACAAATTAAATATCCCTTGTTTTTTTCCAGGTATACCGAGGCGTAATGTAATAATTATACAATATGTAAAAATCATACAAGTAAATTCAAACAATAATCTTCTTCCTCTTCTTCAATGTTCAACCGTTTGCTAATTGTTATTGACAAAAAAAATGTTTTTGATTGGTTCTTCTATCAATTTTAGGATACTTTGAATTTAGTGTTATTTAAATATAAGCAAATTTTATATGAGATACCATGTGAATGGAATATTCAACTAAGTGATGGAATTGATAAGAATCGATGTCCTGTGAGTTGGTTAACTTTTGCAGAATTGAAGAAACGTAACTATTCAACATTGTTCAAACAACCAAAAATGGTTCATATCAATCATCATAAAAAACCAAATGATGTAGTTTGGCAAAATGTAACAAGTAAACGCATTGATCAGTTGGATAAGATTCTTGAACGTAAGTAAATGGATAGTTAAATATTTGATAAATAATCACATATTTCAAAGGGCATTCCAAACAGGATTTGAACGCAGTATATGGGTTTCGAAATGCAGGTGTTCAAACGCTTGAACACTGAGCCAGCTTCCAACAATGCTAATGTGTAACCTTAGTGAAATAATGATATTACACGCTCGTCATTCATTGTCTGCAGTGAGTAATCGCCTACATTCGACAGGATTGAATTCCATTGGGTATAACCTTGCACTGAAACTCCGAGAATCTCCTTACAAACCTATTCATTAGTAAGAATGAAATTAAATTTCATCATACGATTATGGAGATTGTTGAGATGAAGTTCGGCTCATCCATCAAGAGTTTAAGCGCTTGCCCTTCAAAGTGAAGGTCTTGGGTTGGGTTACCCCTCACTGGGTGGTTAATGAGCACTACTGATAAGTGCAGTACTTTATCGAAAGGGTTACCTATTGCTTCTAGTTTTATAATAATGGTCTAACGTTAATCGATTTGTCATTTTAATGAAATTCAACAATTTAAACAATCCTGTTCTGACAAACAATTTCATACTTTTAGTACACATAAATATTTATATAGATCTCGAAAGTTAATTTCCAAACACTAATGAATCTAAGTTATATTGCTCTATAGAGATGAAGGTTTCTTATAAGACCAGTAGATGTTTGTTGTGAACATTGTAAGTGGTTCAGCATTACTTTTTGTCAATTGTCAATGTAAAAATCTGGTTAGCAGAACAAACAACCGATTTCATTGATACTGGTGATGGTTCTCTTTCAACATTCCCGACTGTCATTGTCATTGAGACCCTGTATTGTTAACAACATTGTGCGTGGGCGTAGGAAAGACACCGTAAACAAGCCTCTTAATGCTTTACTTGGTGATAATCAAGATAGGAAAATATTTCAAGAGGAACTAGAAAAACAGCTTGGTGACCATGCAAGTGATTCCCATCCGGAGGCAGGTTGGAATGATATCAACAAAGCTGTGGAAACAGCAGTGGTATCTACTAGCAAGGTAAGCCATAAGCCTAGGATGAAGCCGTGGATTTCGGTCGCATCTACTGAACTGATGGATTCTCAAAAACGCATCACACGTGATTCTGAACATGATGAAGAGCGTAGTCAGCTTAGGCGCAGACTTATAAAAAGCCTACGTAACGACCGCGAACAATGGTGGGTGGCGAAAGCAAAAGCGATGGAAAAGGCAGCGGCAATAGGCAACACTACACCGCCTTATCAAAGAAACCGATATTAGGAATCCGAATGTGAGTGAGACTATATCGATAAAGGATGGTCTTATTATCCATTCTCAATCCAGGAGACTGGATCGATGGACAGAACACTTTAGAGACCAGTTCAACTGGCCTTAAGACTCACTACGGGTTGCCCACGATCCCCAGTCATCCTGAATGGCAAATCGATTTAAGTCCTCCCAGTCTACATGAAGTTGAGAAAGCTATAGCAAATCTGAAGCGAAGTAGAGCAGCAGGTCCTGATAGGCTTACTCCTGAGATGTTTAAGTATGGTGGTCCAGTTTTAACAGTTAGACTGACCGAGATCCTAGGTAGAATCTGGGAACTGGACGTAATCCCATCTGACTGGTCTCAGTCGCTAATTGTCCCAATCTATAAGAAAGGACAAAAGTCTTTTTGCGACAGTCACAGGGGAATAAGTCTAACTAATATAGTTTCTAAATTGTTAGCCTCGATTATACTTAGACGTCTATCTAGAGCTCTTGAAGAGCAGAATCGAGAAAACCAGTCTGGTTTTCGACCTGGACGTGGTTATTTGGACCACATCTTCAATATTTATTGAATATATATATATATTACTTAAAATTTTCCAATGATAGAATGGATCAAATCATTTGATGTGATGCTTATTTTTAATAAATTCCGAATTTTATTTTGTAGCAAAAGAATTGTATACCAAATTCCTGTCAATGTATCGTCAATATGCAGGTTTAAAAAAATGGTGTTTCAATTAGATCCGATTTAAACAAAAATGATCTCAATTTGTGAAATATTTCTTTTTCTTCTTCTATATGGTGCATTTTTCACTTGATAAGAAAGATGTCCAAATGTTTGTCGATTCCAAATGTAAAAATCAAATCGATTAAACGCTTATAATTTATCTTGTTTCGGTTATTTGAACTTACACTTCAAAATAAATTTGATTTATAAAAGAAATACGTGATATTCTAGAGAAATGATTGATATATAATAAGTATTTTCACTCGTATAGATAATGAAATATTAAAAAAAAGTTAATATGATGACCATGCAACAATGTATTAAAAACTTGATGATGAGAGGTTAGTAAAAGAAAATAACGTGTTGCTTTTAGTTGTATAAAGTGTTCTGTTGATGAATATCCGAATGAAGTAGTCGGTTATTATTGAGAGTGCGGCCACAAATGAATAAATGATATTGTTACGGACATTAGATTCACAGAACTTACTTGATAAAGGTCCTAATTTTTGGATTTCATGTTTTCGAGTAAGGGTTGATCAGTTGACTGAGAGATTACATTTCCCACCAGCAAAATCCTTGGCTGTCATTGGTAGATGGATTATGCATAAATAAACTCGATTCGCCCGCTAGTCGACCTCATATTGTCTTAGTGCATGTAAAATACACTTTCTGTGTCTTGTCGAAACTTCTTCCTCTCTTCAGTAGGGCCTTGGGACATGCTCGATTCAGAATCGTCTATCGTGTCACTGAATCATTTGTCTTCCCTGTCGTTCACCGACTTAGGTGAACTCGTGATAGTTTCAAGCATATTGCGCGCGCGCTTCGAATTTGACATGTACTCGCTGACTCTCTTCCATTTACGGGAAACCATCCACTTTCGGGATACTTTATCGCCTCCGAAGCTTTAAAAAGTTGTCTCCATTCATTGGTTGACAAACATCTTCGGGCAAAACGAACCATTCTAAGTCAGAACCATTGTGCGGTAGGTATAGCTGCCTCATTCAACTGCTCTATTTCTTATTGCTTCGGCAGCATACATACATCCACTCACTCACAAACGCAGGACTTGTGGACAAGTTACTGGATACTCGTTCTTCACCCCTTATCTCCACGGCATCATGTTAATTAATAAGGTCGCTAGTATACATTACACTATAACAACCAGGAAAGCTTGTAGAGGCATAGACACCAGGGTTGATAGTGCGTCGAATATCTCAATGTAGTGCGAGCGGGCTGTTAAAAGACCAAAACAGTTTTTTATTCGATAGTACGCCTCTCATTGTCCATACTTTAGATCACTAAACGCAAACGCAACAGAGGAGACAAGACACCACTCCTATTCCTAAAAAGACCAGTAAGCTAGTTAAGAATAGGAAAAAAAGACGCTCCAAGGCTCGGTCGACACAGTCCAACGCCCAGAAACAGCATAAGGATGACTGTTTTGCCTGCTCATCACCAGTCAAAATCAGCGACCATGCTTTCGAATGCAACTTCTGTAGTACACGGGTACATTGTCGCTGCGACAATACAGTACCTAAAGAGTACTACGGATTCGTGCTGAGTTAACCCTGCCCATGGTTCTGCTACTTTTGCCCTAGGTGTAGAGTTTCTGAGGCAGTGACAAAGCCACAGGTCCCAGCCAAAATCAGCCCTAAAGTCCAAACGACCAAAGCAAAATCGCCTGGCACTAAACCAGTGAAACTAGTGACCAAGGCTACCACAACCCTGCCTAAAACACCGACAAAACTGCCGGTTGTTGCTAAGCCCAGAGTATCTGCTAGCAATACAAAGCAGTGGGTGAACGTGAAGAAGGTAAATAGCAACACCTTAACTCACAAGCGGCTACAACCCAATAACAGGGACGACAGATCAAACTCGCTTATTTTATTTAATGTCTCAGTATTGGAAGAAAGCTTGCTAGAAGGTAGGGCTGCCTTCGACAAAGAGCAGTGAGATAAACACTGCACAACTCTCGGAATGTGCGATGTCCCAGACAAAATATGCCGCCTTTTCAAAGGCCAAAATGTTTCGAAGGGAAAACCCCCTCCAATGAGGGTAACTCTTCACTCAGCACGACTTGCTGAAGACATAATCTTTTCATCTCAAAGACCATTGGTCGAATTGTCCTCGCCGATTCGCATCAGGCATGACAATCCGTCGTCGGTACGTGCAGCAGCCAGAACTGTGCCAGGAACCCAAGAACAGACCACCATGGTAGTTCACGATATACCCGAACTCACAAGCGGTACCCGGACGAAGCTCACTGGCACGATGTGCAACTGTAGCGATAGCTATTATGTAGCTTACCGCTCCACACCACGATGGCAGTTTGCATTTGTAGGTTGCCCTGCTCGTCACATCTTACGTCCATCAAGACATCACGCCTGATGGCTGTGACATTTGGGAACCTAAAAGACATGACTGAAACACTACAAGCTTGGTACAGTTCGAGGAACGATCTGTCTAGCCTTATCAGGTGTTGCGAAAGCCGACCTAGATCTGTGAGACAACAGCAGCGAGGCCAAAATGAACGCACAAAACTGATAGTTTGTAGGGTGAGCGTTTATTGCGTGTTCTTAAGCTCGGTTTATAAATCAGAACATGAACTCGTATTGATAAATACGTTTATTCGGGACACACCAAAAGCGAAGCGGAGAAGCAGTGAATAAAACGAAGGCAGCAAATGGATAGGCGAAGCGCGTTGGAGAAGGCAAAGAGCCAACTCTTTGGATTACAATGCGAGCGAATGAGCGAAACGAATTGGAGAAGGCTAAGAGCCAACTCAAAGAGATAGAGCATGACTAAGAATATATTGTCAGGCATAAATAAGAGAGACATATGACAAGCGAAATAGGTATGCACACATGTGAATAAAAGCGACGAATGATTGACAAGGCCAAAAGCAGACGATACAAATCATGTGAGTTCATGGGAAAATTAAGAGATTAACATTAAAGCGAAAAGGATGAGTATGCGCGTAGGCGTAAACAATCCTCAGTCGTACAAGCTCATACAAACCACACAGTAATAAAATACCAATGGTACATATGGGTTGTTGCTATACGAATAGCTTGGTTACATAAGTTAATCGAAAGGGCTTAAGCAAATTAAATGTAAGCGGATGCAAATAAATGTGGAGGCATTACAAGTTAACCCCGGTCAACTACCCCTGGCGCAAGACATGATTGTAGCAACCACGCAGGCAGAAAACCAGCAGAGGTTAGTTCCCATAGAACTGGCCGATTCGGTTTGAATAACTTGTCTGAAAATCTGGCAACGGATGCTGCTGCAGATGTGCACCAGGTGCTGAGACAAACCACCAAGTACCTCTATAGCAACGTAAGAGGACCAAGGGGTAAGTTTATAGAAATCAGGAATATGTGCTCTCAGATGGATCTGAAGATCATAATCGTAACTGAAAGATGGCTATCCCATGACATTGCAGACTTAGAAGTGAGCTTGTCAGGCGTGACACTCTTCAGAAGCGATAGGGAACACCAAACTGGAGGCGGAGTGACTATATATATAAATAGCCACTTAAAAGCAGAGCGACACCCAACTAAATGAGGTGACAGAATCATGTTGGTGTTGTTTCCGAACAAATGGCACGAAACAGTTGATTGGAGGGATCTACCGTCCTCCTTCGGGTACTAAGGCCCAGAAAAGCAAACTGATCGAGATAATACTGCAACTGCCACTCCCGTGGTTTGATCAAATACACTCAGCTGGAGATTTCAATACCCCATCTTTAAATCTCAGCAATCAGAGTACAACTCCCACTGGTTGGTTCCAAAGACAACTTGGTACAGCCATTAGAAGCTCTAGGCTGACTGAGCACGTATGCAGTGCCACTAGGTGAACTAAGGAAGGGAAGTCCTCAAACCTGGATTAAATGTTAACGAATGGTCATCTCCTGGTTGAGGATGTTCACGTCTGCGCACAAATAGGTAGTAGTGACCACGGCACAGTATTATTTAACATGGTCATAAATGAAACACTCACACAGGAAGATAACGAGCCCCATCCTTGCTACATACTCACGAGAGAGGTCCTACTACATGCTTCATGGCCACGGGAGTGGTGGAGGCTGACAGTAGATGATCACTGGCAAACAGTGAGAGATATCATCCATAACGCTGTCGTAGACAATGTACCTCAGTCACACCAAAAAACGCGGCAATAGAAGAATCTGGGTTAAGCGTGGCACTGAACGCTTGCTACAGGAGAAGATGAGAGCCTGGCAAAAATGGAAGGTCTCCTTGAAGGATTCCGATTGAAGTTCTTATTCGGCATTGAGAAACAGATGCAGTAACAAAGTTCGAAGTGATGGAAACCTTGAGATGGCCGAGATCTTCAACACCAACTTTTCTGATCAATTAAACCAGGTGCATACATGTTCAGAGTACTACACAAACCCATAGCCAGCTAACGGCTTAGGGAACATCCGTATACTCCTGACCTGGTATTAAGGAAACAAAATCCGCCCTATAGTCTTGCAACAGTATGCTGAAGTCCTCTGTTCACCAATATGCGAGCTGTTTAGGCACTCACTGGAGTCACACTTATTCCCAGCTAAATGAAAACAATCTACTCTCTCTCTCCAATCTGCAAAGGAGGAGATAGAAAGTAAACAACCTGTTACAGACCAGTCACACTACTACCAATATTGTCAAAGGTTATGGAAGGGCTAGTGGACACAGTGCCTCACGCACGCCTTATCGAAAAGGTTGTGGAAATGGTCTTCACCAACCCACTACGACCTTGGCTCGGAAACTACCTTGAGCATAGAAAGTTTCGCACCAAGGTAAACAGAGTGCACGTGAGCTGGCGAATATCCAAATAGGGAGTTTCACAGGGCGCCATCCTAGGTCCACTTTTCTTGCTGATATTTATTAACGACCTGTTAGGCTTAGTTAGCTCACCGGCATTGATCTACGCAGACGATGCGAAGATCTGGAGGTCCATTGGAAGCGAAGAGGATTCGACTGAGCTTCAAAAGGACCTTACATCTATT